CTTCAACTCGGACAACGTTATCACCCACTGCAAACTTGCATGAAATAAGCTCGTTATTACACTATCAGGCGACCCGATTTCAGTCAACAACACACTGAAGACTGCCCAAACTATAAGACTAGAAGCATTAAAATTCGTCTAGACTTCATCGACATGAGGATAACCAGTACGAAGACCCCCACAAGCAGTGGTGCTGTTTCTAGCAGACTCTTCGTCATGAGTTCCACTCTTCGCTGACTACCAACCCATACCCGTTGATTTACAGCGAGGGCGACCTTTCAAAGCAACGCTTGCATAGAAGATGGTAGTGTAGGGATACACTTCACATTCTACAAAGTCAGTCGATGAAGATATTGGGGACAAAGAAACACGGAAAAACGTAAAACCGCGAACCCCAATAGATAACGAGTGGCAAATGTACTTGTAGCTGTGACACAACCAAATGAGGGAAACCCCAAACAGAAATAAGAGCGCGAAATTACCCCGCGCTCATTGAATGATTACGATTGGTTCATCTCTACAATTAGGCTTGTGCGAGAAGGCCTTTGGTATGCTCAGGCGTCCTCGAGGGAGCGTCGTCCCTACGAGCCTTTCTCACACAACCGCAGCAGAAAACCAACTTTAATACTTCTCCGAGCTTAGCCACCGACAAGCATACCACCTTAGTCACAAAGTCAGCCCCCGAAGAGCCTCTGAAGTGAAGATCATCGAAGCGCAAAGTGCCGTCTTTGTTGACCAAATCTTTCAGCATCAACCGAGTGACAACAAAGCTCGCAAGAGAACTCGTAGAGGCGATCATGATAGTGACCACTATCTGGTATTTCGCTGCTGTCAGTGGATCTGCGCCGCCCAACAACTGTCCTGCCATCATGCCGGGAATCGCAACGAGACCAACTACGGCTAATGTGTTGAGAGTCGGCATCATACCCACCCGAACTGCCTCTCTGTGAATCGGCAGTATAACCTGTCTAGGGTGACTCGACGTCAACAACTCTGCCTCAATTGCAGCCCTTTTGTCCACAAGCTGAGTTAGTAGCCTATCAGCGGCGAGCGATATCGCACTTAAACCATTATTGGTCATCATACCCAACATGGGGAGGTAATAACGAGGGTGCCACCACATACTGCCCAGAGACAACACGAAGTTGGTCATAATGAGAGCCATCGGGAAGCAGCTCACAGTCATTGCCAAGCCTATAGTACGCATGAACCCGGGGTATGTGTGCTTAGGCCTCTGATACGCTTCAAAAGAGGCAACACTGAGCATGAACACAGTCATCAAGACCACGGGCCAAACCTGGTCACTCGAGAATACTGTGGCGAACAGTAACCCTAGTATGAGCAATTGACACACACATCTGATGGCGCCTACTACGACTCGCCAATGAATATCCAATTTCATGTAGAGGGAGATCACTACATTGATGGACAAGCATGCAGCGGCAATACCTATGCCGCCGGGTGAGATGGGAGCTGGCATTGCAAATAGGTGGATGTGAATAACCTAACCGAGCTGGAGAGTACCACTCGTTTTCTAAGAGAGCAAATCCCCTCATTAGAACTGCAAATTAGTGTATACTATTCGCTCCACATAAAATTCAAACACAAAATACATTCATAAATTCTTGCATACAAGCTTACGTCGTGAGAAGTGGAGACATGATGACACAGCTTTCCATTGCGCCAGGGTGTCGGCCCCGGAGACCGATCTAGACCCCCTGGTAACCTATCACGTGTTCTGACAAACTGTGTCATCGTGTCTTCACTACTCAATGAGTTTCAAGTTATGAGAATGTTATGGTACATCTAAATTTTATCCTTATAAAAGTCCCCGTATAGGATAAGCACCGAGGACACCACCGTGAAGTTGACGAGGAAAACCAGATGCTCTATTTCTACTGACGCAGGTTACACGCAACTACAACGCTGTATTGCCACACCCCTCGGTCCCCCCAGAACCCAACAATACCTCCGCGAACAGCACATGATATCAACATGAAATTTCGAACAACATCTAGTTGAAGGCTCGTGCTACCCAAGTCGGGCATAGCTTAACAGGGTGGCCTCTCAAACGACACACTCTGCATAAATGACCTTCGGACGAGTGGAACTGCCGATTTTGGCATCCTTGGATTGAACCTGCGACCTCAAGATCAACATCATAGCAAAGCCACTCAGACCATTACATTGCTGGTCTTCCGGCATACTCTCTTTAGAGCGACTAACTCTAAGCTCTTCCAATTCACCATCTTCCATACCACACTCTTCACAACTGTGCCCGACATAACCACACATTTCACAGACATGCCAAGCCGCCACATGCGTATGAGGCTCCAAGCAACCAGGTATGGTACACCATACGAGATCGCATCGCTCCGGTGAGTTGATGTCAATGGTCGACTGCTTTTCAAGAGCCGACCCCTTACGACCATCACTACCTAGGCTCGACTTCCGACTATGCATCTCAGAGCGGCGCTTCTGTAATAACACCAGCTCCTTCCGAGCATCCACAGTATCGATCCAAGGCACGCCGAGGCCCTCCGCGACCAACAACTCTTGCTCGATAAGCGTAATAGACTCTTCCTTACTGAAGAGAGCAACAACAACACAACAGTCAAGTTACTAAGCCTTTGAACAGTTTGAAGAGCAGCTTGCTTCCTACATAGCTTGTTTAAGCCGATCCTGACACTTGTTCACCTGCGCCTTCACCTCTTCATCCCAGCCGCCCTCAGAATCGTTCGTGGATTCTCCCGCTAGATTAGACAAGCTCCTTGCGAAGCTCGTCACAGGCCTCTTGGACGATTTCAATAAATCAGCATCATCCTGAAAATGGACAATTTCTGCGATGGGGTGAAACCGAGTCAGTAACTTTTCCACGCGATACAAAGACAAGTAAGAGAAAATAAGCACATGATAAACTACACGTGTTGGTGGAAATATGAAAATTCTGGGGCAAATTTTGGGAAATTCTTGCAGGTTTCTGAACACTTCTATGTAAACTCCTATAATTGGTCAGCAAACTCCTGCGATGAGCTTATATCCCAACACGGTACGAAGACCCAAAACCACTACTACTACTTCTTGAGCCATTCTCGCAGCAGCTGACTGGAACCTTCTAGTATCCTTTTCAGTTAGGGTGTCCGGGACCGACGCCCTCATCTTGGGCAGTTTCTCATCAAGATGCTTCAACACCTCCTGGCCAGGCTCCAGCTCCCATCGAGTCAGGCCGGCCTCTTTACCAGCCTTCAGAGCCTCTTCAAGATCTCGCCGACCACCACCATACATCGCCTTTTGAATCCTAGATCGAGCTGATTGTTTTTGCTTCTCCACTACTCGTGCTTGATACTCAGTTCGTTGCTTTGGGGTAGCATTAGTAGCCAATACCGAGGCAAAGCGACCAGGATCAACTCCTTGTCCAGTCTTCATATCATAGAACTTCACCTTGCGCATGCGGCCAGAAGAAGCCATAACTCGATCGTCTGCGGGCTCGCCAGAAGAGCTTCCACCACTCGTCATGGTATGGTCAGTAGACGTATCAGAAGCAGATGCGGCAACAGTAGGAGCAGGAGTCGGCTTGGTGATATCAACAACTTTCTCGCGCTCTTTCAAAAGGTCATCGAACTCTCTGCGCCAACCCATCATATCAACAATCTTCTCAACACCAGAGTCACAATCAGATTCCATCCAAATATCCCGATAAGCACAGTCACCATCGAAGACCATAGGATCAGAGCCGGCTCCTGGTTGCTTCTCTCGATTCACTAGCAAGCGAACAGTCGTGTCGGGCACGTCAGATACAAGCCGATTGAAGGGCGCCACCTGCAAGTGAATGGAACATTCAGCATTGGTAATTCCACCCACCTTCAAAGAAGTACCCATAACGATGAGCAAATCGCAGGTCTCAAAGTCACTCTGCATAAGCGTGTGGAATCTCCGAGGTAAGGATTCGCCGAAGAAAACAATGTCAGGCTTGATGAGCCCGACCTAAGAAGAAAAACAACCCGTTATTCATACCACACCTTTTCCAACTCACATCTTGAGCTACTATGCTGGGGTCGAACTTTGTATTAGAGGAACACACGTCGCACATAACCGGGACGTTGCCAGCCAGTATAGCATCTCTCACCTGACCAGCAAACCACCCGGCTGAAACGACCACTTAGCTTCTTCTACCTGTATTGGATCAACCACGGCTCTGCACTTTATACAACTTGCCGTAGAGAACGTCCCATGGGCTTCAACGAGATTCTCATCCTTTACCTGAGAACAGCCACTAGGTTGCCAAAATCTGAAAATACCTTACCCCCGCGAGGCGTTCTAAACCATCGATGTTCTGGGTGTACATCCGGTGCAGAAGTCCCTTTTCTTGTAAGAGGCGAACAAAGTAATGTGTCGGTGTCGGCCTATACACCAATAACAGTAAACTGCATGAGGTTTAGTTCGCCTAACTTACCTGTGCTGTCCGGTCGGCCAAAGATGCTTAGCAAAATGATAAAAAGGATATGGGTTCTTCTTAAAAAAGTCCATCGAAAACCTGAATGACAATTCGACAAATACGCCCAGTGCCTTGGATCTATGTTCTCCTCAGCTGAGCTCAGCAGTTTCCTTACTGACTACAGAAGTCGGGTAGAAATGTACAGAAACCAAAAAGAATTTCCATATTGATACCAACACACGTAGTCTTACATATCCTCAGGCCGACCAAGCTTGTACGACTGAAGATTGTAATAGAGGCCCGAACCAGGCGTTCTGAAGTCGGGGATTCCCGCAGATACAGATATACCAGCACCGGCCATAACGATGATTCTGAAACAACTACTTCAGTATGAGCTCTATGATGTCGTGACACACTACCTTTTTCCGCAGGCATCCTCACCAGAGAGCTTCCCATTCAGTGTGTTTTGCCACTTGTTGACAAGGCCGTCTAGATTGACCTTGGCTCGGCTCCCGAACACTTGTTGACGATGTAGTGGCAATTCTGCCCAACACCTGAGCGAACAAGAGAGCAACAATGTACCGGTTACAGAGCACATGAGCATACCGAGGATTTGGTAGTCCCCTTCTGTACAAGCGACGGAGTACTGCAGCTAGGCTCTCTACCTCGTGGGCGCTTCTACTCATGACCTGATTCAAGTAAACTGTAATGAATTACCGAGAGTGTGGTACTAAACAGATCTTGACAATATACTTCATCTCACAAAGAGGGACAGCCCCTAGCTTACCAGTCCGAATGCCATCTGTAAGCGCGTATCATGTTGTGTAGCGAAGTCTGAGGTTTTGCACTTAAAGCACCAGAATGTCTTCTTTGTGATGGAAATAGCAACACAGCATGGCGTGTCTGTTCCTGAGAGTGTAGAATGCGAAGGCCTATGAGTGCGCATTTTCTCGCACCGGAAGTCGCTTCGCAGTGCTCGTGCATGTGACCCTCAGTT